GTAGTTCAATGAGAACACGCACCTAATTAACTTAGGATGACAAACATCCGTGACTTCGATGTACTGATGTACGATATATTCCAACATCGGTCAAATATTGCAAATAGATACTTCAAATTTTAGAAATTGGATTACGCTGCGACCATGTTTGTCTCTAAACGAACCTCGAGAATAAAAAAGGCGACGAGAAAACCACTAATACAGCATCTCCTTGAAACTCAATATGGCATCTCCAATTACGTTATACACGCGCAGTGTTGCGTACTCGTTTCATCTATAGAGCAATACATCCATCCCGTAGAACACCAAAATTGTGATCCCTAGGACGAGGTAAAAAAAAACGACTTGGCAACGCGGCCCGCAACAACGTCGCATTGTGTCTACTGGCGTGCACACACATGCGGTGCAGCCTTTCCGATGCATTCCGTTAATAAAAACAAACCGAGAAGGAGGAACGTTATTCAATTTTCAACTGTGAATTAACGAGAAGTCATAAAGAAAATTACTATATACAGGAAGCGCAAAAAATGCCCCGTATTTGTTATTTTTATCCTTCTGCCGCGACTCCGCGCGAGTTTACGAGTAATTTTATACGGGGTCAGGCAACCAAATAAATCCTGGCATCCTGCGGCATCTGTAGAAAATTACACGGCCAGCAAAATGGACATAGGACATAGAACAAGGTTTGATCCGAGTCCGATAATTAGCTAGGATTTAGTATCTAGATTTCACACAATGGATTTTGAAAAATAGACAAGCTTTTTAATGGCGTGAAACCTTTTTTTAAAACCATCATGTAATTTTAAATTTTCTTTCAGATTATAAGATGTAGGGCTCCATATGAGCAAAAAAAAATCCGCAGCTCCTCTGGATGAAGAAAATTACTTATAAATAAAAAGAAAAACATTGACAAACCTTTAAGAAAGCATTTTTATTACATATAACTACTAAATTTCGTCTTTAATCAATCACCAATGCATCAAGCAACATGGCCGCTGACAGATCGTAAATAAGTTGGGATGCAGCATTTTGTGTCAGTATTTTTATATGGCAAAAGAAAGTTAAGTGCGTGGTTATTTATTTTCATTTAGAAAGCAAATAAAGCAAAGGGCATATTAGTGGGCGACAAGAAAATATAACCATCTGAGTCGCATTTTTACCGTTTTAGGTTCGCTATATTATCTAATAGGTTTTTAATCAATATCTAGGTATGTCATTCTTTGGACCTTAATGTATCTACACTTGAATGTTATTTATATAGCTTAAAACCCTTGTTGGAACCATTGCAACATTATAGATCGATGTGAAAATAAACAATTTTGGCCTTTTCTACATCTATTTGTGAATTCAAAACAATTGTTGACAAGAGGAAAAATTACAATTTATGGAATAAGTAATAAATGTGATATTCCTATTATGTTATGTACATATATAAATATAAAATAATCGGTAGCGGGATTACAAAATAAGAAAGTCGAACGTTTCATGCTCCAATAAAATCCTCTCAAACAAAGTAGTTTTAGGAGAATTAATTGATACCGGGTAATTGGTAGTATGCGCGCCTATTTTCGCAATGCACGTGAATTTTTTTAAACATTTTATTCGTTTGAGTTCGAGTATGGTACGACCAAAAATATAGCGCATTAATTGCTTTGACGTTTTAAGAATTTTACAGTACCTTAATCGCGGACCTTCGCAGGACCGTGGTAAAATAATAATAGGAACTTGAATTTTTTATTTTAAACTTAAATGGACGGTTTTAAGTTTGATTAAGCATTGATGCTGCGAGGTATTTTTGAATAAGTAGAAGCATTTATTTTAACATCAGGTGATATGGAGAGTATGGAGGTATTTGAATGTGATCCTTCCAGTAAGTACGTATTTATGTATCTGTTCCTAAGCGTTGACCTAGAACGTAATAAATTGTTACTTAGAACTAAATTTTTTATGTATATGTTTCAAGAATTGCTAGGCGAAAAAGATTAAGTAGGTAGATAAATTTAAAGGACGTTCCTTGATCGGTTACGGCTAAAGGTTTGCTCCGCAGGGTGTCCTATGAGGGGATGCGGTTTTGGAGTAATAAACAGTAGGCAAAGTTAAGACGGGGTCGGTTGTAAAAGCACTATAATTCTGGTCGAAGTATAACTTCCCTGCTTGTACCCCTCTCCCCGCCGTCGCAATGACGGCGTAATACGCGCGGAAAATAAGCAACTGGATTGCGATAATTATTTACAAGTTAAATAGGTAATAAATTCTAGTCGTTACTTACAAGGCATAAATAATTACAGTTCGTAAAGGTTATCTTCGACGGACGAACAAAAAAAAAGCCGTCGCTTTGTAATTTCGCTAAACATTCCAGAAAAACCCTAGTCAAATCAATTATGCATATTATACTTGTGTGTGTGTATGTGTGTGTGTGTGTGTGTAACGCGGTGAATAAAAAGTTATTTACTTGGATCTACCAACAACCTGAATAGAATATCCACAAACACAAATTATCGAACGCAGTATTAGTAATTGGTTCTGCGCAGTCAATATAGACAGGTGAAAATTTAAAACGGACCATGTGCGAATAAGATTAAGCTCTTAACCTATACGAGGTGTGCTCAAAAAGTGAGGTGGATTTTAAGTTTAATCAAAAAGTATTCGTTCATCAAAATAAATTGTTGTCGCCTTCAAAGTACTTTTCTTATTACTTGCATTCAAATAGTTCAAGACATTTTTTTCTGATTTTTTTTTATAAATACTTCAAAAGGATGAAATGAGGTCTGTGAAATCCGTGAAATATTGGTGAAATCATACATTATTTGTAAAATTTTGTTTTTCTTTAATCCAAAATGATTGGGTTTGTTTCATTTGTATTTTTTGTTCTTCCTTGATATTTTTAGGGCTACAAGGTATAAGGCATAAGATATTTGGCTTTAATTGTATGTTTTTTATAGAAATTATTGTTATGCAATGCAACACGTTTGGTAAACTTTTTAAATCACTCATTACATACTCGCTCCGCTCGTGCCAAATGCCGTTTACCACACTTGTTGCATAATATAGAATTGTGTGAAATCTGGTGCGCCAATTTTGGTTTTTGATTTGAAATTCAGACTAGTTTTCCAAAAATTGTAACATATCTCCGAAATTCTGACATTTCTTAAAACATTGTTAAATTAAAAACTAAAATTTTGGTGGCTTGCGATATGATTTCAGTTTTTTTCCAACCATTGGGTGAAACAACAAAAAAGGAACAAACTCGGTCTCAAAAAGTGCCACTTTCGTTTACGTTTTTCGATTGGTCTTATTAAGTCACTTGCTGACAAACTGATTTTTAAGGTAGCGCAAACCCAATAGCGCCATAACGGTCCTTGGTCTTCTTAAACAGAAAAAACTGTCAAACGACTTTAACTACGTAAATGCCGATAAACCTGGTCGCCACTTATAGTTTGCAACAACCTTTAAGAGGGCATTACGTTGGTAATAAAAATTACTACTTTTGTTATTGCTAAATTTTATTGAGTTTACACTTTTTACGTGCTGGCTTGTGTCAAATTATTAATTACGTAATTAATACATTTCTGGGGACCTTGACTTTGTGTCTGCGGAGAAATTTTATTATCGTTCCGATTGGTTGCGACTGAAATTACGATGTTTGACCCCACAGATAACGTTGCGATGCGCCTTACTTCTTCAAAATTTACGAGCGTTATCGCTTCTCGAAATTTTTATATTTTCGAAAGGAGAACATCCTCCCGGCCGGTCCCTCGTAAACATTTACATAATAATTTGTGATGATGGGTCGTAAAAATATATTTAGTAGATTATAGTTCTTGCTTAACGTGACGACGCAAGAATACGGTGGGGGCCGGTTCGTTGATAAAGCCCGGATTTACGCTGTTGCTATTTTGGCGACAACAATAAATTACTCAACTACGTAAGATAAAAATAATCCCCCATCTAACGGATAACGGCATTAGTCAACTCGTTAGGGAGTTTACCCGTTTTCCTCTAAAATCCATATTTTAGGTAATGGCTCTGTGAAGCTTTGTCGCCCACAAAAACTACCATTAAAATTTGTTACGCAATCCAATTAAATAGCGGCAAAAGTAAACGTCAAGGACAGAGATGCGCGCTATAACCGAACGCAAATTTTAACGGAGATATACAGAGTGTTTAAAGTACGTCGCCAAGCATTTGGGGTGCCGTCGAGTGATTTTTACGAAACTAAACAAATAGTACACATACAAATACATAGTTTTCGATTTTTCACATTATAGCATATTATGCAACAAGTGCGGTAAACGGCATTTGACTCACGAGTTTATTTGACACGAGCGGAGCGAATATTTAATAAACGAGTGAGTCAAAAAGTTTACCGAACGCGTTGCATACTATACTTTTTCTACGACCGTTAGTTTTTGGGTACATTTTCGCAAAACAACATGAATTTCACTGACATGACCGTCAAAATTCAAAGCGTGGGAAATATCTCGGAAAATATCAGATTGCTCCCAAATCCGTGCGGTAAAATCCCGGAAATGTCCGAAGTGGCTCGAACTCGTGGGAAACGAAACTGACGTGGTAAAGTGACGCTTCCAGCACGCTAGATCGATGGGTAAAAATAACATTCTTTAACCACAACCTTAAAATTTCATCTCCAGAACGGGGGGAACAGATAAAAAGTGGCAAAAATCTTCGGGTGGCGCCAAAAAAAAAGTTTTCGGCGACGTCTTAAGGAAGATAGAAGATAGAAGACGGTTTCCCTTAGAACTGCATTAGAAAAATCACCGCCTCATTTGTGGCCACGCACTTAAAACACATCTAAATAACTAAAAGTAGATGAGAAAATCGCATCTTATCGACGACTCTTAAGTATTTAAGTTAAACGGCAGACGTTTCGCTATTCGAATACTCACGCCGCGCCCGGCCATTTTCCCCGGCACCACTTTACACGATACAGAAAACCGCGAAACACAACGTCGTTCCCTCTGTGCGAAAGACACACCTACCCTTCGGACCTGCGTCGTCGGCGCCTCTCTTAGCGTGCATCCCTTCCTGCGCGGTTCTTTGACATCGGGCGCTAAAAATAACCGCGACCCGGGGCAGCACCAGCGGCACCACTTCGAAACCGTCACGGCAAGATCGCAAAATAAACAGGCGGCACCGAAGGACCGCCGCCCGAGCCTGCTGCGAAAGATGAAACGATTGCGGCGCGTACGCGGGAAAGGCCAACTTGGACTGAAATTGTTGTTGTCGCTTAGAGTAAAAACGCTCAGAACCGCGGCGGCCGCTACGATCGCAGCGCCGCCTATGCGGACGGGAGAGAATTTACGAGGATAGATTGCTCTCATCGACGCCTGCTTGATTGGATGGATGTATGTGTAATCCGACACACGATAAATGGTCATGACGTGCCTAGCCTGTCATAAACGGAAGGCTATTTTCACTCAATAAACTGAGCAATAAACCAATAAAAAGCCGATTCAGAGGAAGCAGGAAAAGAATTTGTCAGTGTCATCGACGGAATAATATAGTTTTATCCGCACTTTGCGCCATTTTTAACTGTGTCTAGGCTTGTTGCCACAAATTCCGCATCCAAACTTGCTGACGATTTGTCAGCGGTCCAATGTTGGTTTTCGAATGACTTAACTTTCTTAAATTGCTTCCATAGTTGCATTATAAGTTACTGTATTATCGGCTCTAGTGGCGATGTCGTTTTACAACTACCTGAAGGTAAAATTTATAGAATACTTAAATATATAATAATAATAATAACAATTTTATATAATTTATGAAGCGAATTATAAAAACAATATTAATTAATTAAACCTAGATTTTTCTCTTGTCATGCACTATTTCGTGATATTTGAATACTAACTCTTTCTGGTCTTTTTATTTATAATTATGTGTTAATTGTTAGTCAAAATCCTGATTTGCATCAAGGTTTAAGAAGCAATGTTGATTTAAAAAAAATCCCAGTCATAAATTTTCTATAGTTGACAATAGTCCGGTTGTTTTGGTTAATTAGATAGATATTTTTAATAATACAAACGTTTACCACAACAATCCTGAAACTTTAATATAGCAAATTAAAAAATCCGCTAGTTATTTGTATTTGTTAATGAGAAATTTGTCTGAAGGTCTTCGAACAGCGTCACAGTGGAGTTCACTGACATTCCAAGGTCCTTATTGCGTCGATTCCTTGATAGTAATTCGCTAGAAAGGAAGTATTTACTAATTAGGAATTAGAAATCCAAAGATTGGTGGAATGCAGGCAAAAATATTTAACTCACACAGGTCTTCATGTATTCCAGCTAATATAACAGTCTCGTCCGCGCCCTTAGATTATGTATTGTCCTTTCGTTATTTTGTATGCCTCTGTACTGATCGTCAAGTGCCATATTTACTACGTCCTCCCGATATAGATTAAATTCTCTGCATTTCTGTTTCTTCTGATGTCATGTATTCTTTATGGCTGTAGCATACCTAAGTTTGAAAAAGTGGCATAGGTAGAAAAAATTTTATGGAATCTATTGAGTTTCCCGCCCCTGCGCCCCTGCGAATTTAAATTGCTTGCTTAAATATGTTACTACTCTTCAATAATTCTGGGGCGACTATACCAGCTGTTGGATTCGCGAGATGTGCGTCCATTTCAAACGTACTCGATGGTATCCGAGGCGAATATCGAGTCGTCGACTGAAGTTACTCATGTATGAATCACTTAAAATTCTAATTATCATCAATTCAACGCACAGTAGTGAATTGTTTGGAGTTGAAAGGAGCGCTATCCGTTTGGAAGTACACCACCGGCTCGGCACGTACAACGCTAATTGAATCGTAGGAATTTCGTGATAGTGTTTATTTTCTGTTGGCTCTTATAGGCAACCGGTTCTAGTGACAAACAAATCACGCTTACCAAAATAAATCGCTACAAATCTTAAGATCCAAGACGGGGAACGAGTTTGAAAAAAAAAACTTAGGCTTGAATATTCTAGAATTCTAGAAATCATATCTGCCGGACTCAGACTTTAGCCGCCAGGCATTAAGAATCGTCGATTCGGTCCATGAAGGAAGTGCTTTACATTTTGGGTCACATAATACCACGGGCGTCAATTAAACAAATTACTACGTCGGACGATCTGACAAGTCGACGAAAATAGAGTCGTTTAAAACAAATTACATTTCATAATACCTATACTTTCCCTAAGAATGCATCGCTTTTCTTATGTCGATTTTCAACGAGTACAGTGAATTTCTTTCTACAAAGGCATATTCCGAAAAATCCAAAACCCGCAAAAACTAATTTGTCATTTGTTAAATAAAGCTTGCAATTTATAACAAACCAAAAATCTTGTTATTTTGACATTAGGTAAATCCCCATTTTACTGAATGGATGTCGATTTTTCAAGCATCAACACTGATCACGCAGGTCTACAAAATTGGACTTTTTGACAGATGTTTTTATTTTGAAAACTGATTTTGCATCATTTTGGTAGGCTGATTTCAAAAATTCTATGCACTTATTTGTATCACGTAAGATTTTTTTGCAAATATCAAAGGAAAAAAAAAGACATTTCTAAAAAAGTGAAAAAAAAACTTTTCTCAGACTTTTTCATTGAAATTTTCGTCTTTTTGACAGAAAGCTGGGTTTCAATAATGCCCTCGTGAAACCTCTCTCCCTGTTCTTCATTTTTCGCCAACTGCTCCAAGATTTTCACGAAAATAGAACAAGAAATATGTTGTAACATATTTTGAACAATACTTTCGTAGCTTTCGTCCTCAGAGTTCCCAATTAATTACTTTTTTAAATTAAACCCAAGCGTTTTTCGCAAAATTGATCATTGTGTTTTGAAAATCCTTGTCTTTGCATAATGTTCGTATCTGCTGCCCAACAAAAGTACTTTGGAAATTTTGTATAGCCGCCCTGTACAGTATTTTAAGGTCACCAGGAAGCATCCATTGATGTTCTTGGTGGTTTATTTTCTTCAAAAGAATTCCTAAATTTTCATACGTTTCTTATAAATGTACCGAATTTTCAATCAGAACCTTTGTTAGTTCGTTAGCATTGTGCGGTTTAAACTAAGCTTAATAATAAATAAGCGCCATTCTTCTTTTCCCCATTTTGAAACTAAGTCAGAAATATTGTTGCAATACATCAGAGGTCTCTGAGTAAAATATTGACATAACTCTTTTTCGCGATCCCGGTAAAAGATTGTAGCTGCAAATCTCTCATTAAATCATTCATCATTTCGGGCTCTCTGAAATCTGAGCCATCTGGGTAGCAATTAGATTCCTCTGATTCTCACGATATGACGTTTTTTCTATTTCATTTGAGGGGTAGGTATCGGTACGTCTGTCCATAAGGAACCTGTTCGAATAGCAGAGTCCGAATTGGGATACACAATTTGTTTCTCATATTTTCTATTATATCATCGCTGTGATTCCCAGGCTCTCGCCCACACCAAAGCCTAAATAATTCTTCCTACCTTTTCGCCAGTTTCTTAATGCTTTAACGCAAACGGAACAAACAGTATGAACTGCCCAGGACTTGTCCTGATCTCCAATTTTTACACCAAAATAATCGTAGTGTAGGTACACTTTTCACAAAAGAAGTTGCCTTTTGCTTTATTACGACATAACTACCGCAAATAAAACAAAAGTTATGTTTTCTTTACATATTTATACATTCCAGAACACTAAAGCTGCGAGCACAGTAGCACGACGACCAAAACATCCAAACTGCGCATAAACAGGTTACAACGCTGCGCGGTATTGACGCTTCTGCGCCAACTCTGTTGCTTCGCAGAGAAATCCAATATTATCCATTGTTGCGAAATCACATTTAATTTCATAAAAATCAATTCCTTTAAAAACATGCGTAATATGGAACAAACATGTCATAGGTATGTATATTAATAAAATCACGTTCTTAAGATATAGAGCGCTCTAAATAAAATGACGCGATGACGTTTTTCGGAAAACTAACCAAAAATATATAAAAATAAGAAAACAGCTTCAAAACATCAAAATCACTGTAGACCTGTGTTAATCATTGGTATTTAATGTTAAATAATGTACAGAGGGTGCCAAGGCTTTTTGACTGTTATAATGTTGCATAAAAAATTCGTCTTTTTGATTTAATAAAAACCACTTTAGGTGCTTTCGATTCTTTAATCACGGATTCTGGCCTCTATCCGTTCCGACGCTCATGTCACACGTCACTCTTAATTTACTCGTACCAAAAAAAAAGCTCTAAACGCAGTAGAAAGAGTATACAGCAAGCAACGAGCTGAGTTTGCTAGTGTCAAATGAAACTCGTGACTAAAAGTTAGGTGAAGCAAGAGACTTCTAAGATATAATAAAAACCAATACTTAAGGAAGCATAAAAAAATCCCGTAATATATAGGGAAGGGTGGCGCAAGGCGGCCCACTCTCCCTATTTATAATGTTATAATTATTTATTAAAAAGTATTTAATAAAAACAACGTTACTAATTAGTAACTATTTTTCTATAGATTAAAATATTTGTTATTGGTATATATAAGATTTTCGAAAGCTCTGGCTTTAGACTAGAGCATAGAATTATCCAAAAAATAATACTTTATACAATAAATTAATTATCATACGGTTATAATAATATGGAAAAGCTTTTTTTTTAGATTTTTTAAGCGGACCATTTTACCCCTGGAATTACGCAAAGGGTTAAAAAAAAGGGCAGAAAAAAATCGTTAATTTTTGAAGTAGGCGTCCTTGCCCAGAGGGACCGCCTTGCCCTGTCCTCCCCTAAAGCTGCCCCATATAGTTTTATAATAAATATTTTATATAAATAAAAACCATTTATAGCTTTGGACAAAGTTGTTGAAGCACCCTGGATTCAAACACATATTTTATTTTATTCTCTCCGCGGCGAATATTGTTGAAGAGACTTTAATTGACAATAGGTGTAAAGAAATAAATACTCACCTCGCGCGTTCTTGCAAAGTACCGTTGCTCGAAGAAGAGGTGATTATTTTGCATAAAATCGTATTTTTCGTATGGGACACAATGCGGAACGTAATCCTTTAATAAATCACCGTTCCGGGGGGGATTATCGGTCTAGTGAGCTGAAAATAATTTCGGATTGAACGTGCGCCTCGTGCAGGTGAACAACCTGGAAGGCAAGTCCTCTCTGCTAGTGGTTTTTATTGTTTAATTTAGCTTTGCTTATGATTATTGTAAGCTTTATAAGCTCTCAAAAAAGGCACCGTTATTGATAGTAATAACTAGGTGCACATATAGGCCTGCCTATGAAAGAAACAAAGTATAGGAACATTTTTTTATTATTTTTCAATATAATCCCCCTTAACTTCAATACACTTATTACATCTCTTCATTAACAACTCAATTTTTTTAAAAAATATTCTTTTGGTTTGTCTGCAAAATGGGCTAAAACAGCCTCTTTTAACTCAACTTCGTCGTTAAACCGCCGTCCACGTAAGTCCTTTTTCAAATATCCAATAGTTAACATCTGGTGTAGGAAGACAAGAGAATTTACTAACATAAAACATGTAAGAAGTGCTACACTTTCGATTGAACACGACATTTAAGGTACTTTTTTGAAACATCTGAAACATCAGATGACAAAACCAGAGAATATTTCTTCTTCTTCTTCTTTACTAATTTCGTAACGTTGGGAACATCTACTAAGGAAGCTGGGCCATTGCCGATATCCGTCGAGTATTACACTTGGTTGATAACTAACCAATATTAAAATTTTAGAAATAGTATTCTGAAGGTTGCTCATGCCGACGGCCGGTCACAAGTTCACCGAATGTCATACATTTTGTATGCTCAATAAAGCATACAGTGACTAAAAGCAAACTAGTGCCTAAAATGATGTTCCAACCATAAACTATATATAAAAACTGACCACTAATAATTAGCGAATGTTATGGGATGTTATGATAAATAAAAAGTAAAGTTATAGGAAGGATAGATAAATTCAAATATCAAAAGTGTCAAAAAAGCAAACATTTTAAGGCGTGAACTAACAATAATGTATAAATTAATATTTGCACAACATTTTATTATTTTAGAGTAATAAATATATTTAATAAAAGCAAAAGACAACATAATTAGAATGAATTAGAATTGCAGTAATGTTGAAATTTTTCTAGTCTTTTAAGCTTCAATCAGGTTGTAACATGCAACACTATAATATTCATTTGTAAGCATCTTATTGAAAACCGTAAGTTTGTTAGGGATATTCACGAACACAAAACCCGCTCAAGAGGCCATTTTAGTAGTAGGTCAGGTCATATGATCGTAAGATTTTTCTTTTATGACTAACCAACAACGGCATTTTACCGCTGGGAATTCACCGAATTATTTCGATCGCACATTTTTAAGGTACCTGAAATGGTATTTCCCCACTGGGAACTGCTTTTATCAGCGAGGAAATAAAAATCTGACTATTAGCGGTGCTATATTGTAATCGAAGGCTGAAGACATTTAAGGCCTTGAAACCCTCGGAAAAAAGCTGGCAAAAGATAAAGAAACTACGTTTAGTGGAAGCTGGATCGAAATGTTTAAAAAAGGCTTAATATAGCCATTGGAAAAATATTGGGTTGTTCGGAAAGTCATTTCGTTTTTTTTGGGGAACATGAAAGACAGTTTTCGTATAATGAATAAATATTTTATTAAATTATATATTGGCCATTCTGGTCCAACACCTTTTGCCATCTTTCTGGCAGTAACATAATTCCCCTCTCATAAAAGTTTTGGTCCTTGCTGGCAAAAAACTGGTTCAGGTGGTTTTTGACATCTTCATTTGAGGTAAAGGTTTTGCCATCCAAAAAATTTTGCAGGGACCGGAACAAATAGTAGTCGGAAGGCGCCAGATCTGGAGAATATGGTGGATGTTGCAGTACGTCCCATTCAAGCTGTAAAAGTTTTTGGCGAGTGACCAAACTTGTGTGAGGTCTCGCATTATCCTGGTGGAACACTACACCCTTCCTGTTGATTAATTCGGGCCTCTTCTCTTTAAGTGAATCATTCAATTTGTCCAGTTGATGACAATAGACTTCTGAATTAATCGTTGTATTGTCCGGCAAAAGCTCAAAAAAAAAACGATTCCTTTGACATCCCACCAAACGGAGAGCATCACCTTTTTTTGGTGAATGTTGGCTTTTGACACGCTTTGAGCCGGTTCACTTTTCTGCTCCATGACCTCTTGCGTTTAACATTGTTGTATACAACCCATTTTTCGTCCCCAGTAATAATCCGCTTCAAAAGTGGATCATTTTCTTGACGTTTGAGGAGTGAATCACACACGTCAACGCGACGACACAAATTTCGCTCCGTAAGGACTTGGGGCACCCACACATCGAGCTTCGAGGTTAAGCCCATGCCTTTCAAATGGCCATAAACAGTCGAATTCGACAAATTTAATCTCTCACCGATCTCTCGTGTGGTTATTCGCCGATTTGCATCAACTAATGCCTTTATCGCATCTTTGTCAGCGTCGACCGGCCTTCCAGACCGTGGTGCATCTTCGACATCAAAATTGCCGGATCGAAATTTTGCAAACCAGTTCTGGCACTGGCGTACTGTTAACACGCTTTCTCCATACACATCCGTCAATTTTTTTCTCGCTTGGACAGCATTTTTACCTTTTCTGAAGTAAAAAAGTAAAATATGACGAAAATGCTGCTTATTGCTCTCCATATTTAAAAGGGCACCAACCAAAAACTACTGCGTAGAGTTAATAGAACTGTTTCACACACAAGCCTTGCAATAGCAGCTCTCAAGACATATAATGGTTGTGCGGCTTAAGTGTGAAGTTGGTTTCGAAAAAACGTAATTAAGTCCTCTGACGGGAAAAAACGAAATGACTTTCCGAACAACCTTATAGTTGGAGAATCTTCTGTGCCATTGGCTTTAGAACAAATCCAACCGGGTTATTGGTTGATGAAACATTGAGGTTCAAAGGCGAGAAATGTAAAGGTAAAGGTAGGTAACTTTTCAAAGAAGGAATAAGTGTGTTGGTGGTGGAGAATGTAACGGGAACAGAAAAAGGAAAGGTACTGGTAATTGCAGCAACAGATCCAGATGTCAGAAATGTAAACTGCATCAAGTTAGTGTTCATGCCGCCAAACACCAGTTCGAAACTGTATCCAATGGACCAGGGTGTCATGCATAGCTTAAAGAGTCATCATCGTCCACTTCTTCGTTCGAAAAGAATAGATTTTATTGATAGTGGGGGTGGAAATTTTTCTATCAACCTCTTGGATGGAATAAACTTCGTCCATATGGTATGACTGAGGCTATCCAAACCAACAATATCTAATTGTTTTCAATGCTTGACATTAGTTCCACGGCTGAAAAAAATGGATAATAAGATGATAACAGTGTTATAGACAATGTTTCTTGTTCCGTAAATGAGTTCAATGAATTTGTGCATATTGATGATGAAGTTGATGATCTTGTAAGGGTCGAATACTTGGACGATATGTCATTGTCGCTTGTGTGTCTTCTTCAGTTTTGTAGAGATTTGTGAAGACTCATAAATTGTATTATTTGAGAATGGTCGTTATCATTTGTATCTTTTAGACATTTTGTGTGAGGAGGCGGAAGATGAAGAACCTGTAGTACAGTTCCAACCACATCAGAGGCACTCGGTCCTATTGATAGCTGATAACGTTAGTCATTTCTTTTAGTCACGAAATACTTCGCAAAGTGTTCTGAATCAATTGGTACAATTACACATTAATGATATTCATTTCACAAACACAAAACAAATTAAAAGATATATATTTTTTTAATTATACTCTTAAAAACAGTTGTTAATGTTATAAAACATATTTTATTTAACTTTATTACGAACTTCGCTTATAGCCGATCCCACGAGGTTCAGTTATAACGAATATTACTGTATTTGCTAGCCTTCGGGCTGTTAATAAAGGATTTAATATTTATTACACTTATGACGTGAACAGACCCGTTTTCTTCCATCCTTCCAGCGAGATTTTTTGCTCCCTCGAAAAATTTACACATCTTCGCGTGATGCGTCCGTACGACAATTACCACCGAATATTATTTTTCGCAAAACGTTTTCCCACGGCTCCGTTTCGCCGGGTATTTATCTACTTGAGGAGTTAAGGTTGCCTCCGTGATTGTATATTGCTAATACCCGCCGCCTCGTTCGAAATTTATTTTCACCTTTCGTTTACGACCATAAATCTCACGCCAATCCGTTTGCTTTCGTTGCATTATATGTTACACCTCTTCTATGAAATCAATATACGTAGTCCCCCTTCTAGTCGCTAGGTGGCACCACAGCTTTAAAGCAGAGCCAAAAAACTGTGGAATAACTTACCATGGACGGTATATTCGCCATCTATGGTCTTAACCTCATTCCTCTTTTTGTGCTTTGGTGGCACATGTTCATTTTTATTCGGCGTCGGTGTTTTCAGCTTTTTTCAGCGTTTTTGGAAGTTAAATGGAGAAGTACAAGTGAGATTTACGTTATTCCTTATCGGATGAAGAAAGAACCTACCTACGACGAAAGATTAAATCTTTCCATCCGCGATTACGTAATCGCTAGTGGCGTGATTCCCATCAACGAGATTTTCTTACAATTGGGAGACGATTTCTTCATCGTCCGGGTTCCGATCGGAATCCCCAGAACTCGAAAGACCCCCCATCTTTCCCACTTATACGACAGCAGTCGTATGTAAGTGTTTCACAATTGGAAGCAATCCTTTTGTGAGGGGGTCGGCCATACATATGGTTTTATATTTTTTCGACATCGAAAAAATAGAGTTTTCTGGCTCGTCCGGCTATGGATGAGGCGCCCGGGATACTGGGACATAATGAACAATTTTTTATGGCTGTTGGAATGCATTTACTCCATCGTAAGTATATTTTTTAGGCCCTTCAATTAATTCTGATGTCATTGTTGAGCCCCTTGAGACGGATTTAAAGCAAAATGGCCTTTAAGCTATGGGGTCGATAGTCCCAACACAAAGTTTGATGTGTCATGACATTTTGGCAAGTCAGATTAATACCTTTTTTGAAATCCGGTGTGTCCGAAGATTGTCTCAGTGACCTTTTGCGTTGATATCCTGTGCCGAAGAATTGCCCGCTCAATAACTCTCCTAAATTGAATGTGCAGATGAAATCTGCCATCAACAAAGGTGGAAAGAAAAGGGATGAGAGACTGACTGCAACAAGGGGTGCTTTGATGGTGGTTGGTAGGACGCTCTTGACCTTGCTTTTGAAACCGGTTAAGGATGAGTAGTACTTACTTCTCATCGAAATGTTGAGTAATGCAATATTTGTTTTAAGCAAAATACACCATTTAGGTTCAGTATATAGAAGTTCAGCCGCGTTAAGCCTTTCGCTGGTCTCAAATGAAATGCAGCCTTGTATGAAGGAAGTGCTCGTTGATGCTTCTTTGCACTCTTGTTTATATGGAGAAGATTTGGCTGATAGGCTCAAATCAATCAGATTAGCTGCAGATTAGTGGCCGAGTTAAAGTCAGGTGCATCCGGAACAAGGCTTTTATAGCATACAAATTTAAACTCGACCGTCCCACTTCGTTCCCGGAAGTTGCAAGGCTGAAGTGGGTGAAAGTCATTGTACCCTCAAAAGAGGGAATACAGGAAGGTTTGAGAGGAAAGGGGGTGGAGTTGTGTCCCCAGGAAAAAATAGTAAGTACTTTTGTTGAAAGATTGCACTAGTTTCGGGACATTTGGAACTCTAGAACTCAAGATGCACAGATTCTACCTTGGTTAGATGGATATAAAATTCCATTTGCGAGGCCAGTTATACAGGACTTGATTACGACAGATCCTGTTTGGTCCCAACAAGAAAAAGATTCAATTTGTAATGTGGTCAAACACCTGTTAGAGATAGGTGCAATTGCAGTTTGCGAACCTTGTAAGAATCAATTTATTTTACAGATCTTTTTGGTTTCAAAATTGGATGGTTCGGTTTGATTAGTTTTAAATTTAAAGAAACTGAATGCTTTTATTGACACTTGTCATTTTAAACTGGAAGACAGAAAATTAGTAGAAACACTCTTCACAAGGAAGTCCTTTATGACCACTCTGGACTTGAAAGAAGCTTACTTTCTAGTCCCAATAATTGAAAATCTAAAGAATTTTCTAAGATTTTATTTTGATGCTCTCTGTTATCAGTTTAACATGTTACCCTTTGGTTTATGCACCGCCCCGTGGGCCTTTACAGAATTAATGAAATCTGTGGTTTCTTATCTCCCTGCCAAGGCTTTTCCCTCAATAGTTTATTTAGATAACTTTACTATTTGGTGATAGTTAGCTATCCTTAAAAAATGTTCAAGTAACTTGCAACACACTGATTAGGTTGGGTTATGTTATTAATTATAAGAATGTTTTACATCCTTCGAAATCCCGTAAATTTTTAGGTTTTGTTTTTTTTTTTTGAATCCCACCACTTGTTTTTCTGATGAGTAAGTAAGTTTTGCAATTTGAACCGTTGCGAAATAAGAGTCTTTGCCGAGCTTTGTGCTGTGCTAGTTTTCAGTTTGCCCAGCAGTTTGTTACAGTTGGGTATATACTAAGAATTTTTGAGAGAATCAAATATCTAGCCCTTCAAGACTCTAATTATGATATTTGGATGATAATTCCTTGTAATTTACGGAGGGATTTTATGTGATGGCTAAAAAGTTTACAGAATCCTGAATGCCCTGTAAGGCAGCAATGTTACAAACTTGAGATTTTCTCAGATGGTACTCCTTTGGGTTGGGGAATTGTGCCAGAGGACTTTGGAGTCCTAGGGAAGCTCAGTTTCATATTAATGCACTAGAATTAACTGCGGCCTCATTTGGTCTCTAATGCTTCGCCTCGTATTTGACTAACTGCGAGACACTTTTGAGGATTGATAACACAACTGCTATTTTGTATGTAAATAGAATAGGGTGAGTAAAATTTCCTGTTTTAAACGAAATTTCGAGGCGCCTTGGGGTTGGTGTGAAGAAAGGAGGTTATGGGTTAAAGCATCTTACATTCGATCTTCCGATAATTTTGAAGCGCATAAGGAACCCACGAATTTGAATTTTGATGGTGAATGGTACCTTTCGGACAATGCTTTTGCTAAAATAACAAGCAAATTTGGATTCCCATAAATCGAACTGTTTGCTTCTCGCCTAAGTAAGAAATGCGGAAAGTTTATTTCCTAATTTCCAGATCCGGAGGCATCTAATGAAGACGCGTTTACTGTTTTTTGGAGCGACAGTTTCTTCTATGTTTTCCCCCCGTTTTGCTTGTTGCCACTTGTTTTACGAAAAATCAAGGCTGATTGAGCTACAGGGATCGCAGTAATCCCTTACGGGCACAGCCAGCATTGGTTTGCTTTTTTTTCATGGGAGGCGTTGTAGTTATTTATTGTTTCTAATTCCAGACAAATTACCTTCTTCTTTTGACAGGAGAGGTCACCCTTTGTGGAAATCCCTTACCCTGGCTGCAGGGATTTTGTCAGGCAAGCATTCCAGAAGATTTGCTGGATATCATCTGTTCAGAGCGCTACCTTGAGGCATTTAATACCTGCATGCATTTAAACTTTGGTGGAGCTTCTACGAAAGGAGGGGAGTGGAGTGTTATTACTTCTCACCTAGGCTGTATTAGATTTCCTTACTATTCATTTTAGACAAGGCAAGTCCTATGGCTCATTGAGTTCTTTCAGTGCAGCACGGCCTTATTTTTGGATCAGATTTATTTAACAATGCAAATCTAACTAGGTTTTTTAAGGTGTTTATAATCTAAGGCCAAGTAAACCAAGATATAACAGCACTTGGGGCCCTAGTTATGTCCCTGACTTTGTAAAAGGGTTACGTTCTAATGACTTGTCATTAAAGCAATTAACTGTCATTAAAACAATTAAATTAGTTTCTCCTACTGAAGTTAACGATTGTACATAGAGTCCCAACGCTCTCTCTTATAGAATTGGTCAACATAAAATCATTTCCAGATGGATTAGAAATTAGAATAACGAATCAAATTAAGATTTCAGCTATAAATAAGACTCGACCTGTTTTTTAATTTTGCATAAATATGAAGATGTAAATCTTTGTGTGGTTTCAAATATATTATTGAGAGGGCCAGTGCTTTAAGAGGCAGTGAATCTCGTTTACTCATTACATTTAAAAAGCCTTGTAGGGCAGCAACTATACCCAACAAAAGTAGATGAATAAAGATAACTTTAGAAGATAGTGGTGTCTACACTTTTATTTTTACTGTTCACAGAACTCGACATGCCTCAACATCGTCTGCGTTTTGTAAAGGTGTTTCATTTGATATGATTGGAAAAACGGCAGATTGGTGAGAATGCTCTAAATGTTTTCCCCTTTTTTATAATCGACCTATTTGTACAGCAAGTGCAGGCCTTTTTGTTAATGCCACATTTGGGACATAGAATTTTTCAGAAGGTTTGTTTTCTCGGATAGCCATTTATTTTGTATTTGTACTCGAGGCTTTCATAAACTTCCTGGATTTCCTTATATAGCCGAATAAAATCGTTTTATAACAAATTTGCTGAGTTGCCTTTGAAAGTCTACGTATATTGATTTCATAGAAGAGGTGTAACATATAATTCAATGATCAAACGAACTTACCTGGTAAGTGAAGTTCGATCGTAATTATATGTTACACCTCTTCGTAGAAATCACCCATTCCCGCCCAATTTACTGTTCTGAACAGTACTAAAATGCCCTTTGGCAAATTTATTATAAACGGGCTTTAAAATAGAATGAGGTTAAGACCATAGATGGCGAATATACCGTCCATGGTAAGTTATTCCACAGTTTTTTGGCTCTGCTTTAAAGCTGTGGTGCCACCTAGCGACTAGAAGGGGGACTACGTATATTGATTTCTACGAAGAGGTGTAACATATAATTACGATCGAACTTCACTTACCAGGTAAGTTCGTTTGATCATTGAAAAATCATTCCGTTTGACACGTAGCGGCACTGTTCTTCGAGGATTAAACGCATAGTATACAGGTGGCAATCGATTTTTATCATCGAATTGCGAATAATATAAACTGCGTTGTACAGTCGGCCAAAAAAGTCTTGGTACACATAGTATTTTTCAGTTTTCCTTCAGTTTCTTCTTTCACTTATATTTAATGAGAAATATATTTGAAGTAAATATCGGCAATCTCATTAAGATGATTATTTATTTGAACAATAAAAAATTAGACTTTTATAAAGCAAGAAACAATGTCAAATAAGTTTCCATAGACTTTACTAAATCACTATTCGGAACTGCAGGTAGAACCGTTAATTATGAAGTCAGCTTGTATTAAATTAATTTAAAAATCACATTCAACTACACCGTACGTAATAAATCAATACAAATCCAGCGGATCCTATAAAGTGCGGCCACGCTCTGGTCGTCCCAGGAGAAGAGTCTTCTTTTGTGACAAAAATTAGAATTAATTCTAAAACAAGCGCTCCAAATCTCGCAGAGGAAATCAGGGAAGAGTTCTCAAAAAATGTTAGCCCTCAAAAGATGAGAAACTGCTTGTATCGAGCCGGTTATAACGGCCGCGGTGTCAGAAGGAAACCATTAATTTCGGAAAAAAATCGAAAAAAACGCAATAGAAAATCCTTTTGAACTATGCATAAAAAATTTTTATTACGATTTCTTTGTTTCAATTATATAACAACAAACACAAATAAATTTGTCAAATGTCACTAGTAAAAACAATAAAAAAAAGCTTCTGAAAATAATTTACACGTGCAGATAAAAGGAAGACAGTCATAACTATCGATCTCCCAGAACATATTTCAAAAACCAACAATTTTCTTAAACCAGAACTTCTCGACGAACCTACCTAGTTATATCAAAGACAAGTCAAGGAAGTAATTACTAACTCCACACTATTTAGTAACAAAGACAAATATTTTTTAACAATTATGAATTCACATCGCCGAAATTATATTCTTTAGTTGAATTACATAAATAAGACCACTTGTGTCTTATGTAACAGCTTCAGCAGTTAAACTCCCAACAAAATTAGTAAATATTTTAAAGTTCCACACAGATTTTAAACCAAAATTTGCAATAAAAAATTCTTTTGAATTAATCAACAAAATTAAAGATATCAAAATCCACCTATGGAGATGATAGATTTAGTAGATTTTACCCAAACTCGGAAACAGGTTAACCCATTGGTGAAACAAGATTTATTAGATTGGTTAGTAGTATCTTTAGCCCAAAACCATTTTGAATTTAATTTACAGATTTACATCTCTAAGGAAGGTTTGATTATGGGAAACCCACTTAGTCCTTTGCTAGGCGAGATTTTTATGGATGGTTTGGAAAATATCATACTAGAACATCCTTTAAGGAAAAGTTTTCTATGGTGGTATAGATACGTGGATGATGTCTTTGCTTGCCATTGAACAGGATAACTCTATTAATTTTTACGAAAACGATAAACAAATTAGATTTTTCCATTTATCTTAAACCTTCGCACACGGACACAGTCATAAATAACAGCTCAAATCACCGTTATGCATACAAAATAGCTGCATTTCACTCTTTTTCTCTTAATACGCCACAGCAGAAAATTCCAACAAAGGAAAGAAACGAGAAGTTTGGATATGACTGATCGTATATAGATACCTCGGTAGTTACTAATATCGGCACGATAAGCAGATTTACAAATTGTGCCCCTCCAAGATTCCGAAAAAAATTATATAGAACCGATATATAAAAAAGTTAAAAATATCAGTTGGCTGCATTTTAAAGCAATGAAGTCAGCTTCTCTATTGATGTATTCGTTTTTAGTTCACTTCGTTGCCGTTATTTTCGTAGCAGACGCATTAACTGAATTGGGAACGGCGTCCACTTGGAGTGGCCATACTGAACATGTTCCCGTGGTCAAATTTCTTTCCTAAACGTTTTTAGAACGCGTGGTTTTTGAGTGGACGCCGCGCAGTCGTACCTCGATTTTTAAAATGCGAGGTTTATGCTAAATATACCGGCAGTAAGCAACATAAATATTTATTATCAATAACAATATCTCAAATTATGCAAATACGAATGTGATACGCCGATCAGCCTAACAATATCTTTAGATCCGAGAGTGGAGTAAGTAATACGCATCTATATATCTAAATTACAACCATCAACCAATGAAGTGGACGTTTCATCATAAAAGAAAAACATAATTCCTTTTCGTAAAATGATTTCACGGTTATTTACATGAAATATGTTGTATATGTTCAGTCTAATATTATCAAAAATTGGAGAACGCAAAAAATCCTAAATTTCTGTTTAGGTTATTGTCATAAGCTTAGGAATTATGATCACATTTCTATTAGAAAAAATCTAAGTGGGACTATCAGAAAGACATTAGCGCCACCTTCCAACTTAAATTTATAAAATCGAAGCTTCTATTTATTACCGAATGATCCACGTGAGCACGTGATACACTGCACAGGGAGCTCTAAATAATTAGGTTGTTATTTATGGTATTCTTCTTCTTCCTGGTCTTTTATGCCATAAACTTTCCTTTGAAGAACGTATATTAAAAATCCGTATTAACTTTCGTTCCTCATACTATGCCCAAGGTATTCGAGCTTTCTTTTCTTGATAGTGTTCACTGTTTCTAAATCCGTTTGCATTCGTTCCAGTAGTTTTTTGCTAGTCAATCTGTCCACTACCTTCTTGGGGTTGGCGCGTTTAATGTCCATGATTCCATTCCACAGAAAAGTACAGAGAAAATAAAACCTCCAAGGAGTCTAATTTTGATGCCCTTACTTCCTCCATTCTAATTTTAATTTCCTCTCAAGTAGCTGAACTGTGATGCTTTATTAATTACCATGAACTTGGCGGCCTTTGACGGCTGATGTCTGTTATCTGATTGATTACATCTTGTAAGCTACTCATCTGACATCTTCAATTGTTCCCCGTTTAAAAGAATTCCCATGTCGGCCTTCTCAAGGGCTTCATTTCTGGGTACAGACTGACTCACAATGAGTGGCGAAAGGATGCACCCCTGCCTTACTCTGCGAAGAATGTTGATCGCGTCGGTTTGCTCTCCCATACTGATCTTAATACGAACTCACTGGTTCTAATAAAAGATCCTGATAATACTCAGATCTTTATCATCCACGCGCCTGTTTCTCAAAACCTCCATAATCTTTTCATGTTTTATTTAGTCAAAGACGAAATAAGCGAAAATAGTCATATCCCTCCAACTTTGGAAACGCTGGATGATTTTGCGGAACACCTTTAGCATGTGACTCAAAAGACTGGCAGTGCGATAGTCATGTTTTGTCTCCCTGTCTCTTTGGTAGTACTATAAATCCTGTGATGAACCATTCTTTCAAGATGTTCCCAAGAAGTTTATTTTGAATGCACTTCATCTGGTCTAACTTCATCTGTCACGATAATGGGTCCAGATGATTCCTCGTTCATCTATGTACTTTTTCCGAATCTGTTTGATCATACACATCCACAGTGCTTTATTTTTTTGAAAAAGTGAGTAATTGGCAAGCCTGCGACCGCTGAAAATCGAAAGGACGTGGAAGTAAACGTTAAACGGTACAGCGGATTAAAATCCGTTGTGCCTGCTGGCCGTGGACGTATACCGGACCGCAAATATCGCCTCTTTCAAATGCATTCGATGCGTGAAATACGACCCTTGGGCCACAATTAAAGCGATTTATTGTTTATTTGTTTTGTTCGTAATCCTAGCGATCTCTCGGCTAGAGTGAAATTTCACCATTCGGTTGTCGTTCATTATAACCATCCGATTCCGGGTCCGGATCAGAGTCCAATCGAAATTGGCTTTTCCGTCACTTATTGTAACAAACTCTATATCAAACAAACATAAAATTTCGGTAAGGATCAATTCAAGCATCTGTGGTCTTAGCAGGCCTGAGCAAGCATCTGAAAAATTCAGAATGAACTGTGGCAAAGAAGGAGGTTGAAACAAAATGTGGAAGTACCGTGCGTTTGATAACATTTTAATTGGCTGTAATTTTTTTGTTTTTAGAGATATCAAACACTATTGAATACATAATATACAGGGTGTACCATTTAAAAAAGTATGATGTGGGCTTAGATGTCAGAAAATTGATAGTGTTTTGTTTCATACGTGGCTTGGAAAAAAACTTAGCTCCTAACCCCACATTGTTTTTGTTTGCCTTGGTATATCTAACAACCAAAAACAATTAACAACAACCAATTAAAATGTTATCAAGATAAATTGTGATGCGGGTTTAAAGAGTGTCAGAGAAGGACAAAACAAAACAACTTTGAGCTTAAATTTAAATGAAAAACATCTTTTATATTTACCGATCCAGCACAGCATTGGCACGTAGACACGTACCACGCTTAATATTTGTGTTGGTCGCCGAAGAACTGGCAGCCGCCACATAATTTTCGCACATTTTTACGGTAACTGTTGCTGAAAGTAGATCTACGGTTGAAAAACTATTAGCGACGTAAAAGAAACCGTCTGGCGCCTTGAAGCACGCACGCGATGTCAATATTTCCTGTGTGAGTAACGCGTCTTCAATGTACCGATTAGAAAAAAATTTAAATGGTTTCAGTCGTTTCGCGGTTAAGATTGTACATATCCGACTAGTTGCAACTGCCAGTGAGGTCTTAAAACCCAATTGTATTATCCACCTCTCTTATTTGTTAACCTATGCCAGTGACGGCGAACTTATGACACGCACAAACAAATATTTGTGAAATATTTTAATCAAATACAAAATATTTCGAAAAAACAACAATATATGGAAAATGGAAAGTCGTGGGGTGATTCTCCTTATACACACACAAAATGGCTGCATTTAACTATTTTATACATAGACTTCTTAATACGCCACTCTCAACAGAAAATTACAACAAAGAACTTAATATCATTAAACAAATAGCACTGAAC